GGATTGGCCGGCACGATCTCCGGATCTCAATCCCATGGAGCATGTATGGAATTTTCTAGGCAGACGCTTGGCAGCTCGTACCTTACCACCAGTAAAGATTCCGGAGCTTCGATTGGCACTGCAAGACGAATGGGCAGCAATGCCTCAACAACTCATTGACATCCTCATTCTCAGCATGGGCAGACGCTGTGAAACCTGCCTAGCAGTCAGGGAAGATCATATCCCCTATTAAAGACAGGATGTTTCTTGCTGGACACCCATCACAGGGATGTTTCGGCCTTCAGTCGCATTGCGCTCCATGCTACTTTTTCAATAAAGCTTCTTTTTATTCCTCTGATTTCTCTTTTAGTAAGTGTTGCTTACATCATGTCCTTACGTATTGGGGATCTTACAGTATTAAATGTGTTGATTTGGAAAGCTTTTGTACAAAGTTATATTGAAAAAACCGTCTCGTCCTTAATTTTTGCACACCAGTGTAATTAAAGGTATTAATGAAAAAAATGATGTACTAAGTAATCAAATATAATCTCGTATAAAATAATTAAAAATAACAACGTATTAATTAAAATAATAAGGGAAGTAATTGCATATTAAATAAATAATAATAACAAAATAAAATCTGATGTCATGCCCAACACGTGATTCAAAAGCTCGTTGCCATAAACATAAAAAATGTTCGTTGCCATAAAAAATAAAAACTTTCAAACATAGGTCGTTGTCACAGAATAAAAACTAAACTATACATGACGTCATTCCGTCTATGTCACATTCCGGCGGCCACATCCCCTTTCTGTGACGTCACTTCCGTCCGCCGGTTACGGGCGCTTACTACTGAGGACGGTAAAATAACAAAAGACCTCCTACGTTACGAAACCTTTCTTATAAAAAAGAACTAACTCAGAAGAAACATCGTCAAAATAATGAATATGGTTGCAAACGCGTGGAATAGAAAATTTCATTTCTGAGATAGAATTTTCCATCTGACGAAAACTTCCAGTGAGCACAACAGTTCCCCCCCCCTTTGTCTTCTATTCAAGCCGGATGTTATTACACACATAACAGATATTAAGCCATTAGCTTTCATTTTACAAGTTATTCCGATAAAACAAATACCAGGTAAGTAATCATCAAGACAATTCATAACAAACATCGAATCGCCAGAAAAGCAAAGGACACACATATGCAAAAAATTAATTCTTACAAATATACTCAAACACCGATGCTGATGAAATGTTGCAACCCTTATAAGCACTATATTCGCAGAAAGATGCAGTGGAAGGGCAATAATACCACTTGATTCCACGGTAAAGCACGGATGCTCTTGTCTGTTGTCAATTATCTATTAACTATATAAATTTCTAAAATTTATGAAATTTAAAAGATTGAACTTGATGGATTGATAATTTCAAATCTGATTAGATTGCACCGAGCCCACCAGTACGCGAGCGGTAAAATCGCTGAACACTGGTATATCTGACTTGGGTGTGATTTCAGGCTAACGGGCTGGCAACAGGGACGTTTCCGTGGTTTTTCCCATGTGTAACATGTATACGAGTCAGTTTCCATGAGAAAGTAGTACGGACGGTTTAAACCTTTCCTTCTGACATGGTACACAATTATTAACTTCAATCTAATTTTCAAAAAGCTAAATTAGATTTTTTAACCCAAACGGGCGTTAGTCCAGAAGCACTTTTACTCTTAAACAGCATATTACGTCGAATCACTAAAAGCGTTGAATAACTTTTCAAATTGTTGCCACCAAATAATATCGCCCCGTATTATATTTAAAGGAATTAAGTAATGAAGAATCTGCATGAAAGATGGATGGATGTTTCTAGCATTGTGAAAAAACTACAACGGTACCTACAGCCACCAAATTTTGAATAACGTTGTTCTCCAATGGGCCCTGGAAGCCCAAATTTTGAATTTCGAATTATTTTAAGGAAGATTACGTTAAAAGAAGATTTCGGCGAAAAAATTTGATTTTTTTTAATTACCCAATTTGAAAGGTCAGTTTTGTAGGATTCCAAAAATAGTTCATTTTTACGTTTGTGATAATTAGAAGAGAAGATATAGCCAATTAACTGCACTGGAAGTGAAAGCAGAAAGACCGGAAGTGCCATTTAAAAGGCTCAACTTAAAGGTAAACAATGTTGTTATCCGTGTTTTTTTTTTTTTTTTTTTTTTTTTTTTTTTTTTTTTTACCTGTTTGTGTTTAAAAATTGTGCTAAAACATTTCATTTTAATTCTGGGTACTTTTTTTGTTTCTGGTAATAATTATTTGCCTTATTTTTTTGAATTAGGACTGGCAACATTGCGATTTTTTGAACTGGGTCTGGCAATATTGCGATTAGGTATAAATACTATGTTGCTGGATGCATATATAGTAGTTTTAATTTTTAATTCAGCGTATCTTGGATTACTTCCTGTGTTTGAACATTTAGGCATATCAATTGAACAAGAAATGATTAAAAATTACTTTGGAATTGATAACGAAAGAATAAAGAACTCGAAACGTCATTCGTCGCTCATTTCGAAAATAGCCAGAAAAAAAAAAAAATCAAATAGGAAATCAAAATTACTTAAGTATAAAGATATCGAGGGTGTGATGTACAAATGTGGAGAATGTTAAGTTTGTAAATACAACAGAACAATTTTTCTGTTAATGTGAAATCTTTAAATGCGTTTTCTGGAAAACTAATTTTTCTAGTGTTTTTACATACAAGAAATGTAATTACTCAAAATGTTTTAAAGGTAACTCTATTAAATTTCAATAAAGTGTTTTCTATATTATTTACTTGGTTTTAAGCTACAATCTAAGTTATATTTATTAATTTGATTGTTTTATTAAGTATTTCTATATAAAACGATAAGAAATATTTTACAAAAAACTGTGTTTTTTCATGTAATTACACATATTTTAGTAAATTTTAGCAATATCAAACATTTTAGTTCATAACACAGATGAGTGTTGTAGTAGTATACAGTATAAATAAAACTGAAATATATGCTGTGGGAAAAATATATGACATTTAACGTAAGTGTTAAATTCTCCTAAAAATGTGCATAAAATTGCATATATTTCAAAAATTTATGAAAATATTCCTAAAAATTTACCTATTTTCATGATTTGATATCATATTTTGACTAAATAAATATATATTTCATCAGAATTCTATGTTTTTATAAAAATGTGCTCGGAACGTACGCAGATACCTTAATATCTCTATTTCATATTTTTAAAACTTTAACGAGTTTTTGAGTAAAAACTCAACAATCACAAAACGAGCAATGGCAACACTATGCTGAATAAAACATTTTTATCTGCAGTGCCCGAGGCTGTCCATCGGAAATTCTAAAGATATGCTGCTTTTAAATACTTTTAAACCAAATGCTCTCGAAACTTGTATGTGTGTGTAAATGGAAAAAACGCTCCTTTGAGCTTTCTTTTATGAAGCAAATGCGACTTAAAATACGAAAGTTGAAGAGAATTTTCGGGGGAATACCTTTTGTGCACATAATCAGTCGAAACATTGTCACACTCTGGCCGAAAGCCAGATAACAAAGATCAGGGAGCATTAATTAATAATATTCAAAATATATTACATGTTACATGAAATATTTGATTTCATGCGTACTATATTTATATATGACTAAGGTACGTTTTTGCGACTTATATCTCACTTGTCTGAAAGTAATATCAGAAGAGCCCACGAAATACATCGAGGCATGCAAGAGCGAAATTGCGCCTGTTGTTGGCAAGAGCATTGAGCACCGTACAGGTGACAGTATGACTTTGCTCAGTTCCGCCCCCAATTTTGATGGAGAGCACTCTGGAGAGGCGGTTCCGAAAGTCCCCTACTATCAACCTTTCGAGAGAACTGTGGGCTCATCGCATATTTAGTGTTCTCCCATGTCGCACAGACGCTAAACATTTACAAACATCCATGCCTTCTCCGGGATTCGAAACCGAGCCCTTAAGTACGACAGTCAGCATTTCTAACCACTGTCCGTGTTGGGCGGCTAAGCCTAAGGTATAGCATTGATAATAACAATACTGATAATCATAGGCACATAAGAACAAGTTTTTTAGTTATGTAGCACTAAAGAACTGTAAAACTAGGATTTTTTTTTCGGATATTATATAATTACTTACACATTCAGTAGAAAATATGAATAATTGAAGATTAACTTGGAGAATTAATATCCGAGGATCTCTTCTACCCTTATCGCTTATGGAAGAATGTAAACTGACCGAGAGTGTGAGGACGAGATTTGAAAAAATAAATGAACAAAATGTAATTGAAAAAAGAAATTCTTGAATAGCTATGCAACAGAAATTATGAGGATTGTGAATGAAAATAAGACTATCATAGGAATAGGACTTTAAATATTTTAATCTTTTATTTATTTATTTTATTATTATTATTTTGTTGTTGTTTTTCTGCGTCGGGTGTGCTGCGTTAACCATGAGGCCGATTACTGTCGGCCAGGAGGGTTGCAGCATACTCGTAAACTAAACTAAACTAAACCCTTATCGCTTTACCTTCATTTTCTGTAGAGAATTTTCTTATTAATAGATTTAAAAAACTATCAAGCGTCAATAACCGTATAGTCACAAGCATGTGTTCCATGTCCCAAATTTAAACCTCACATGAACGTATAACCACTCATTATCCATAACTTCTGTGTGTCATTAAGATGTAGTGTCATTAGGTTCTTTTGTAGCAGGAGACGTAAAAAATATGCAATGCTTTCGCCGGGACACAAACCTCTCGAATATGCTTCCAATTACACCAAGAAGGCATGTGGAACAGAATCTTAATAAGGGAAGGAAACAATATCTTTAATAGTGAGAAATTATGACTTAGCACTGCAGTTAAATTTTAGTTAAGAAGAAATACATGCTCTTCTGACAATTTGCAGGGTTACAAAATTTTATTTTCTTTTGCCAATTCAAGTTTCTTAATGTGCTAAATTTCTTACTTTTATTTTAACAGCTCGGGAGAAAAATGGCGAACACGCAGAAAGTTACTCACACCCTCCTTCCATTTCCGAATTTTAATGGATTTTCTGGTTATTTTCAACGAGCAGTCGCAAGTGTTAGTGAAAAAAATTGGATCTTTAGGAAGTAATTCTGCCACAGATATCGTGCCTCTAATTAAAATGTGCACATTAGACATAATTTGTGGTAAGTATTAATTATTATTATGAATCGTTCTAAAAATAATTTTGATATTATCAGTTTCGGTTAAAAACTTTTAGAGTGTCCTGTCGATTTTCCGTTGGTGGATTATCCGGTTTGCGGAATATCCGTGCTTGGCGGTGCTCACACACGCACGCTCATGACTGTCCGCAATAATGTGTAAAAAACTAACGCACAAGTCCGAATAAGCTCTAAAAACCACCGAAATACGTCTTTAGGTTTAGTTTCGACGATTATCTCGCGAAGTTCGTTCTGCCATCTGCATAATCGAAGGCATCGTTTCGGTAATGTCTTTGTTTCGTACTTATTTACGTGCATGTATTCTTATTCTTTCGAAAATTGATTTCAAATTTTAGAAGTAAAAATTTAAATCCGGTAGAAATCGGAGATTTATTTAATTGCGAAAACGTTGAAACACGAACTTAAGTTCTACGCAAAAAGATTGAAAATGCAATTGTTTTCAAAAATGTCGATCGGGAAAACATCAAGGAATGGTTCAACGGCAATTCCAGTGAGCCAGACTTTCAATGCTCGAGTGATTCGGATATCGTTTCAATGTCACAAGAAGATAAGAGGCAGAGTGATACTGAAAATGCAAGCGAGGAAGATGCTGGCAATTTCATTAATCCCGAGACAGCAGTGACTTTTATTGAAAATCTATTGCAATTCGTCGACCAAACGGAATTCGAATACAGTGATTAAGTAACACTTTGAAAAATGCGCAGTGAAATTCGAAAAATAATACATATTCTCAAAAAGAAAGTAAATTAGTAGTTTTTTAAAGAGATAAACGCATGCAATATGCAGGAAAATTGATAGTTTGGATTATCCCTGTTTTTAAAATTATCCGTGACCTTCTTCCTCGGCAATAGCCCGGGTAATCGAGAGTAAACTTTACATCAATTCCATTATCTGCATAAGATTTAATCTTTTGCACGAAATCCCGTAAGACAACTACAACTCTTGACCACTGCCACTGAACGAAACAGAAATTAATGTATTCACTACTAACAAGAATATCAATGTTCCACCCTTTGCTTTTAGTAGTGTAACAATTGAACAACGTGGAACTCTTAGAGGATTACTACTCATTTAATTTTCGCAATAAAATGAACCAAACGTAACAGAACGCATAAAAGTTTTCTATTTTTTATATTAATAATAATATTTAATGAAATGAGTTTTATTGAAACTATTCCAGTTTTCAAATTTCTGTATTTTTTTTTTTTTTTTTTTTTTTTTTTTGGCGTCTATATTATGAAGCATTCATTTTTCTTGCAAATACTTATTTATTATAAATTATACATGCATTAAATTTTCTTATAACCCATAACGTATATGTAATTGCAATTTTTATTACGAGAAAATATAAAAATTATATATTTTGGTTTGTAGCATAAAATTCTATTTGTTTGATCCCCCATGACTTGTCTGATTCACCCATGGGAAGTTCTCTTAAGGATTTTATCCAAACCTTCTTGCAAATAAACCTTTTCTCCCCTTTTGTTTTAAAAAGGAAGGACCGAAATCTGCTCTTATTAATACGTTTTTAAATCGCTGCCAAATACAATTTTTTTTTCCTCATTTCCTCAAAAGAAGGTAAGTCTATTTTGCAAACCAAACCGTCTATAGATTACCAAGCATTCACTTTTATAAGTTTATCGAATTACACTCAGATAAACATAACTGCAATAATTCTTTCCATGACTGAAGCCAACCAGCGGTCGAGCGAGCGGTAAAAAGTGGCTGAACACTGATAGTTCCAACCTGGATTCGATTCCAGGCCAATTGGGTGGCTGCATGGGCGTTTTCTTGGTTTTCTCCCCATGTGTAGGTTTATACGATCCAGTTTTCTTAGAAAGCCCTCTACGAAGGCATCCCACCATATATTCCAAAAATTCAAATATTATTTTTGAAGGGATTTACACTTACGTAAAATGCAGTTGACACCCAAGCTACAGCCGCCCAGACAGCATAGTGGTTAGAAGAGCCGACTGTGATACCGAAGAATCTCCGAAAAGGTATGGTTGTAACTATCCGTTCCTTCATAGGAGGCAACGGCGGCCGCCTATTAGGTGCCTCCACAATAAAATGGCCACCCCTTCTGGCCTTGGGAGTGGCCAGTGTCGAATGAGCAAATATCCGCTGTTAGGGAAAAAGAGACCCAAGCTACTTTAAATTCTAGTATAACAGTCAAACAAATTTAAAGATGCCCTGATGTTAAAGCAGTCAAGCATCATAATTTTATAGATGTCCTCATGCTAATAAATTAATCTCTTGTTTGGGCTTCATGTTTTGAAATTTAGTATCAAATTCTGCGCTTGATCTTTACCAGGGCTTAAATTCTAAGATTAGAAGTGCCGGAGCCCTATGGAGGACCGTCAGCAAAGAGGAACAAGAGAAAATAAATAAATAAAATGACTATTAAACTAATTAATTATTTTAAAATTAAATAGTTGATTATTATCAAATTATAATATCATTTAATAATTTTTAAATTGTTATTTAATCAATTATTATTCTTAATAATTAGTTAAAATTAATGGATATGATCAGGTAATTAAGTTTTATTTATTGAAATAATTAGATGAAGTAATTAAATAATTAAAATTAAATAAAAGTAAAAGATAAATTGAAATTAATACCGATTTTTAATAAATTTTTTGTTAAATAAAATTTTGAGATAAAATTTCTACTTGAAATGTTATTCAATTACATAAAAGAAGTGCCTCAGCCTTCTTATTCAGAGCTCCGGTGCGTTCCGGCTAGAATTATGATTTATTACAAAAACTAAGAAGCACCGGTGCCGAAATCCGGTGGGCTCCGACCCAATTTAAGCTCTAGTCGTAAGGGGGGGGGGAGTTCTTTTATCATCACAAAAATTAAATATGCTTAAAGTATAGCTGATGAAAATTCCAGGGCGAAACAGAATGAGGATATGAGTGGATGGAAAGAAAAAATGAGGGGAATCTTGATAAGAGAGAACATTGTCTTTGACCGCGGCTCTATTCTGATATAATTATAGCCATCAAGTAGATGTGTGTCAGGGTAAAATGAGTCCTGAGTCTGACTCCTAAGGATGAATGTAAAATTGCTGGTTACGCTTTCCCCCCATTAGTGGATACTGTGGGAAGACGATGTATATGTGCTTGAGCAGTTTATCTCAGTATTTCACTCTTAATGCACTCTCTGTCACTTAACGCACGTTTAAGAATACAAATTTTCCTTCCTGTGAGGATAACTAACTGTAAGCATCGATAAACAATACACTAGATACGATGGCATGGCAAGAAATTTATGCGTTCCGAAATAAACTCTTCCAAACTTATTGCCTTTCTTAAAGTGAAAGGTTTCCGCATGTGAGTGAGGGAACTTTACTTGAACGTTTCATGTTCTCATGAGTTCGTATTTCTAGGAAAATAGAGTATTGCAAAGTCTGCTTATTGTTAAACTAAAACGTCAGGAATTCTAATTTTTTCCCCTTTAAAGTATGGTTCAGTTTTATAAAAAGAAGTACGGGAGCTCATCTTATTTAGGGCTTCGGTACCTTCGTGGAGGGACTTTCTAAGGGAAACTGACTCGTATACACGTTACACATGGGGAAAACCACGAAAACGCCCATGCAGCCAACCCGTTAGTGGAATTCGTACCTCGGACCGAACTGCAAGTGTTCAGCGAAGTTACCGCTCGGCTGCTGGTGGGCCCAGCAGCAGTCACGAAGCATTTGTAAAAAATGAAATCTTTTGCACATAAGAAATTAACTGTCTATCTTCGCTTGAGAAAAAAATAAAGAATTTAAGAATAAGAGATTGTATTGTTTATTTTCAAATTGCATAAGAAATTAACTGTCTATCCTTGCTTTAAGGAATAAAAAAGGGGTTGATTTAAAAATAAGAGATTGTATTGTTTATTTTCTAATTGTATCTACAACTTACAAATCTAATATTGGAATGGCTTCCCGAAAGTTTAAATTTAGGTACTGATCTATGATGAAATAGAGATGATTTTCAAGGCTGGAAGATGGGTACTGAAGGGAAATATGGGGAAGTACCGGCATCATAAAATTCTTTCGAAGCACGTCCGCGTATATGTGCTGAGTTATAAAAGTTTTCGACTAAATTTTCTCTTTCCCAAGTACTCTCGCTTTTATTTCTATTAATCTTCTATGAAACATTCTATGAACCAAAGAAACTACATTTGCGTTTAAAACATTCAAAAAACTTTACTCACTTTCATTTGTACTCGAAACGAAGTGAACTGAGTAAAGTTTTGAAATATTCAACGAAGTCTGCATCGTAGTCTCTATGAAAAATAATCATGTTTTTTTATTATTTCTATTTATTCTTTTCGTTAACGGAAAAAAACAAATGATTCTAACCTTCTTTTCCGAAGGTGCTTGTCTTTGTTAATTAAAAAAGTGAAATAGCAAATGAGATATAAAGGCAATCAGCCAAATGAAAGTATTTATCCTCGAAGTTCTGAAAAGAGCTTTCTGTGAACATTCGAAGAATACCTTTATGATAATGGTTGTATTTTTCTTTTTTACTTTTTTTTTTTGTTCCACTACTATTTTGTATAATGTACAAGCTGAAAAAGCATAAATATTTGTATTTAAATGAAAGAACTTAAACTGAAGGCAAATTGTAATCTTTTTTCAATAGAATTAAATTTGAAAAATAGTGAAATCATGGAAGTTTTGCTTTCAGTACGTTAGCTATAAGGTACAGTTCTGTTAACGAAACTCTAAGCATGAAATCTGCGCGAAAACGCCAAATGTTATAGTCTGTTCATGCCGCTACACGAATATCTGTTTAATGGCCTTGTAGCGAATAGCGGGGAAAATGAACATAACGAATTTTCTCTCCTAGATTTTCTGTTACTTAAGCGAATAATATGTTAGCCAGCATTCAACAGCCAGTTATTAATACGAACAAGTTAACCGCAAATCCAACGTTATTGATCATGATACTGAATACAATGTATAA